AACGCATTATGGCTATTTTGAAATTATGAGCAGTCTGTTTCAGTTGTAATTAGTTCTGGTATATGCCACACAGTATGTTATTCTACTTTCTCTCCCGATGGCCATTTAATTGAAGACTCTCTACGTGTGTTTTGATTTGCACTTAAAACCTTCTGACATGCTCATTTCCTAATTCAAAACAAAACCTCAGAAATTCTCTCTTTAATGATCATTTAATTATGTTTGTAGCTGTTTCCCTGGCTGCTCAATATAAATGAAAGTTTAGGATGCATTGAGTTTCGGTCAGGCAGATCCAATCTAATGGTTTAGTGTAGTTTTGTACTAACCCATTTTCTTCATCTCCTACTTTGAGTTTATTCATGTCATCATCGTAGAATCATCAAATGAGGATCCCATGATACGTAATCAAACTTTTCTCCGTGATCATTCAGACAAGTCACCAGGATTGATTGTATTAATGCTGTGTTGTAATTATTAGTCTTATATAGCCATCCGTTATCACTTAATGTGCGACCAAGGAATAAACTGTTTTCATTTTTTATTTACTTTACAGTCTAACTGTATATCTACAAGTATAAAGGCAAACTAGAGAAAACCAGTTATAAAACTTTTGAGGCAATTTTGTGGCATTTGATCTTGAAAGGCAAATATTTAGACATCATTAGACATAATATTTAGAAATCATTAGATGTAATGTTTAAGTGATGAAACTCAAGGGCAAAGGTTATACAAATACAAAAACTGAAGCAGTGCTTCTGGGCTTTTTTTATTTTTATAAATTACTTGTCCCAAAGTTTCAGGTTTTGCCACTTGACATGTTTAGGATGTTGGAATTTTTCAAGATTTGCACCGCCAGACTCCTGAGGTCAATGCAACTAACTCCTATTGTTGCTTTAAATAATTAGGTACATTGTAACCAATTTTAACCAATAAGAGCCAAGGTCACCGGGAGCCTGGTTGCAGTTTCACACTTCGTTTCATTTCCCGTTAGATCATGATCTGCATACTTGCCAACCTAAAATGAAAAATTTTCGTTAAAAAAAATTTGCAGTACTTTTACTGGAGTTTTTTTCAAAATCCGGTAGTTTTTGCAGGAGTTTTTTGAAAAAAAGCGGGAGATTTTTGAAAAAACGGTAGTTCAAATTGTCAAATTCTGTCTATATTATTAATATGATCTGTTAAGATTATAGATACAACATTTTATTATTACTTTGGAAACGAATTGGTCAAAGCTAAGTAAAATGTATATGTGGCGTTCACTATATGCTAAGGGCAATCTGCGTGAGGTTCCATTTTTAGGTTCGGTTTTTCGCGCATGAGCATTAAATCCAGCGATTTAATTGGTTGAAATAATTATGACGCATGCGCAGTTAATAAATTAATTAGAAAATATAATCTAAGATAGATGTCACTTACGTTCTTTATTTCACAGCAGTCCCTACCCATAATGCGCCTTATATTGCGGGAATATTTTGTTTAGCGCCATATAAAAACAAAATGTATTCTCCCGACAGAAGTATGACAGAATATGAACTGGCCCCCGTTTGTGGACATTTGGTGTGCAAACTTATACCGAAATGCCTAGATATGTTGAATGTGCTTTTAACAAACTCAGAGTGGGTCTTCTTTTAAAATCACAGCTATATGCTCATAATTTCACCAGTGTTAGTGATCCCTTTTGTAAATGTGGGTTACCACAAACACCTTCTCATTTTATCTTAAAATGTCCTCTGCTTGTAAACGAGCGTGAAACTTTATTTGCAGGACTGCTAACTTCAGATCTTCATCTTTTGGTTCAGAGTTTGAACACAGTTGACAAATTTCAGTTTCTTTTGTATGGTGATGAAGATTTAGATAATTCATTAAATGAAAAATTAATAGAACTTATGAGTCATTTTGTTAATCAAAGTCTGAGCCAAATTGATCGGTTTGGCTAATTTTTGCATGCATGTGTTAACACATCCCTGGCCCATGGGATTATAGTTTCTAATATGAGTGATAACATTACTTTGATGAATTTTAAATTTTAATGTATTCCTATTCATATTGTCTAAAATTGCCGCTAATGTTTTTTTTAAATAAAACTTTGGCAATCAATCGCATGTCTTTTATTGTTTACTAAAGGAATAAATTTATATATAAAAAACAACAAAAAAACTTATACCGAACTGATCGCAGAAAAGCAATTTGAATCATGGGAATGAAGTACTTTTAAGTTATTTATGAAAGTATCGATAGTGAACCATGGGAGCCAATCCTTCTTGGAGTAAAAGAAAGAACTGGGCCTGCAATAATCAAGGTCACAAATTTGTCAAATTCCTTTTAAATACTGTAGATTTCGACAGCAAAAAACAGAGATTTTACGGGAGTTATACCAAGAATACAGGAGATTTTACGGGAGTTATACCAAGAAAACGGGAGATTTTACGGGAGTTATACCAGATTACGGGAGATTTTAGTAGAAATACGGTACGGGAGTTTTTACGGGAGAAAACAGAACGGGAGTTTGGTATTTTTTACGGAAAAACAAAAAATTTACGGGAGATTCCCGTAAAAAAACGGGAGGTTGGCGAGTCTGGTTTGGGATAGTTGACAATTTTTCTGTCTGTAACAATTTCTGGTCGTTTCTCTTTGGCACTTGTGCAAACATAATTAGATCCTGGCTATGACCAATATTAATCCTTCAACAACTGCAATATGACTACATTTTATTCTGATAATATTTCTCATATTTTTTGTTATATTAATTTATCATTGTCCCTAAGGTAACATCAATGACAAGTGTTTCAGGTGATGATGACATATTAAGCCAATGTCACGGAATACTATACCCCTATATAATTTAATCATATTGAAGCAATATGTGTTGTATAATCTAACTCATACATGGATCAGTAATCCCAGGAAATAAGGTAGATACTTAATTTGGTGCTACTTATTTTGGTGGATATGCTGTTTTGAATATTTGACAGACTTGCAATATTACAATGCACTAATGGTACTAATTTACATGGTACTAAAATTACCGGGGAATTTGATGGCTACTTAATCACCTTAACAACTGGGATCCGCCAAATTAAAACAACCACCAAACTAAGTAGAAGTATAGTACACAGAGGTGTCTATTTGTCATTGCCCATGTATCTTGTCAGACTCTTAATTGAAAACAAATTGCAATAATGGCCAATTGCGTGTCTGTTAAGTAGGGGATATTTCCCATGGCTGAAAATCAGTGAATTTCTTCAGTGCCTAAAGAAATGCCATCATAGTAAGTTATTTGTGGATAGATGCATCAATAGACAGGGGATTGGTTCTGTTCAAGTTAGGCAAGGCTTAGCACTCTATTGTAGGATACAGAAATAATTCAATTTGAATCAAATGAATATAAATAACAAATCTCGTTATTAGCGAGTTTTGCAATCTTTTGTAGATTCTAGAATTACGAGATTTTTTTTTTCAATTCAATTCAATTTATTCATTCAAAATTACATCATACAACATTTCATCAATAACATGAATAAGACACCCCAAGGGGCGTATATATTCCATGGGTCATAGTATTTTTGAAGCAGGCTTATTAGTATCACATTATAAATTTTTATCAGAATATATAGACCACCCCTTGTATTTGTACCATGTTTACGGCATTACGCTATGAATATTAGCTATTGGACAAATTAATATGTCATGGCACTTGTACCTTCTAATGTATGGGAGGTTTGGGAGCATCTTTGTTGTCGTATGGGTTTTTAATTTTCGGCAGACATATATGGAACAAAACATTTTCATATTTGAAGTACCATTTCTTTCTATTTATTGAAAGTGCTTATACAACAAATGAAAGTTATTCATACAAAAATGCCCAATTTAAATAAATTTATACACGCATTGGGAGACATTGGAACATGAAAGATTGGAAATAATTCTAGGGAAAGGAATCAAAGGTTTATATAAATGATTACGCTTTCTTATATATTGAATTGAAATGTTTCAAAGAGATTTTTTCCACTCTCCTTGAATTAGAAATAATCCTTTGATCAGTTTGACCCAGTCAGAATAGAACTATCAATATCTATCCACCCAAACACTCCATTTTTTAGTGTCCTGGAGAGCAAATTCAATTCCCCTTTGCTAACACTTCATAGAACTTATCATTCTCAGAAGTTGCTGTGAAATGCAATCTCCATTTTTGTAAGACAAGGTCATCAATTTAACTGAATTGCTCTTAAATTTGAGGAATTGACAAGTATGGGGATAGCTTGATCTTACCTAAGAAATTAAGTGTTTTTGTCTAAGTAGGAGTCTGAAATATGAGGGCCTCAGTACTCAATCTTATAAACCTTATTGCAAATTGTGATTTAATGTCATAACATCGCTATATTTTGCCATGGTTTGTCACGTCAGCTAAACAAAATACTGCTAGCTAGACGATCAGCTCGACCAGTTCGCCAAAGTCAATATTAGTGATGTCATCAATATCGTACAGTGGCAATGAATTATATGTCTTTAAACACTTCTGTTTCACAGTGATATCTTGAGAAGTTTGGTCATACTGACTTCTAATTCATACCCTGCTTGCCCTGTTGTTTATGAGTCTATTAGTTTGTTAATTTGCCAGCTAAATGTTTTCAAGATAAAAGTATGTGAGCCTCAAGATACTCCCAATATCCTGAACCTTGAATAAGATTCTCTATATATCCTAAAACTGTTAAACAGTATCAAAAAAGAGTAGTGTGATAAATTTTGTTTATGTAATATGGTTCTTATTTATATAGAGTAATATAGCGTATATCGAGAGAGAAAAAACACGAAATGCATCCAATAAAATCTTGCAATAATCAAGCACCATTTGATTAGTTAATATAATATATAGATAATTAGTTAAGCTTTTCATTTTTTTCTGTTTAAGCTGTACACTTTGCCCAAATGTGGGATACAAGTATAATAAAGTTCATAATAATAATATGTGGCATTTTTGAAATGCTGGCCTATATGGTGTGGTGTGAGACACATTATGTATGATTTGGAGTATATTAAAATCCTTGATGTAAAATCAGGATTTATGATGTGTGCTCTGACAGTCTTTGACAATAAATCATAGCTTTTATAGATGTCTCCACATATATTTCTCGTACAACAGTTCAATATTATCTGCAAACTTGTAGAAGTCAACTTAATTATAATCAATAGATGGCATGCTTGTATAGAAGAAATGACACTGACATATTCCTTATATGGAAATCTGAACAACGAGTCGGACTGTTACTGTGGAGATGATTAAATCACTGGACCAGAGAAACTAAAGAAGCCTTGTAATTCCTTTGTGGTTTCTGCCGATTAAATTGCTCGTGGTTTGATAATTAAATGTCTTTGTAGCAAACTTATCAGATCATACAAGGGGGTAATTCAAGCCACATATTAAATACAGTAGATTCAATATTTTAGAATTACCTGGCAATGTAAACAACAGAGATAGTAATAATTGACACATATTTTGATTTGCTGAAACTTTGCACAAATATACTAAACATAAGATGAATGAATGATACTTGTCACGTTATAACTGTTCACCCGAGATATAATCCTGCTTTTTCTGTGGCAGTTTTTGTATTGTAGCAGCATATCTTTTAAAAGTCGTCTAAATTTTTTACCAAGAAGACAGTATATCATAAAATTCACAGCTGAATTGAACACAACCAAAGTATTGGCAACTCTAGTGAGTATAGCGTGATATTCGTAATGCCCAATCAGAACCTCCAAAATATTCACTGCAAGTGCTGGCATTCCACATACGAAGAAAACCACAACAATAGCTAGAGCAATTCGTGTAAGTTTATGATCTGCCTTTTGTCGTAAATTCATCCTTTCCCATCTCTTCTGGCCATCATTCAATGCTAATACAACACGTATGTTCAGTGATATTATGAGTATTAAAGGAATAAAAAATAATACCAAAAAGTACGACGCTGCACAATACAGGTATCTGTATATTTCATTGTCACCAAAATCGGACTTTCTCAGGTCTTTAAGATCAGCTTTATACTCGAAGAAACGTGGAATGTTATATACTGCTGATAGGAAAAATATTGCGAATGAGGCTCGCTTGATTCTGATTGTTGTTGGAAGGATAGATGCGGTAGATGTAACCATTTTCACTGATCGACGTAGTGGATGATTGACAGTTATATACCTCTCTATTGATATCGCCACAGTTATCCACACGGTGCTCATCTGTGTCACTAAGCTCATTGGCCACACGAACTTAGATATAAGGAACACCTCAAAGAAATACGCACTGAACGGATCAATCTTATGTAGAATGATTGGAAAGATGTGGAGTAGGAACATAAACATTAGAAACAGCATATCTGATATCGCCAGCATCTTTAGCAGCACAAACATTGGTGAGATTTGTTTATGTCGACCAAGAACTTTCACAGATAAAATATTGCCAATTATTCCAAATATACATATGAATCCTATCAGCCAACTGATGATGGTGCCAAATGTAAATCTCCATTGCTGGTCAAATGTGAATGATGTAGAATTGTCATCAGAAGCATTGTTCCTCATTGCATAACTAGCATTGAGGTTGGCCTCATCAAATCCTTTCTCCATTTCAATTTTGTTACTTGTAATATCTTTTGTCAGTGTTCCATAGAATCGTAGATTTAAAACTTTTTCAGGCAAGTACTTCACCGTAGATCACTTAATCTGATTAGATGTTCCCAGAGTCGCATTTTATGTCAATATATGATAGTAATTGTGTAATTGGTCTATTCCCTAATGATGATCCATTGGTCATTAATTGATGCCTTTACATAATAATTCTCCACATTTGAAATGCTTTGTATTTCATATGACGTGAAACTATTAACCAGAATGGTTTATTGTTGCGGATAAACACCTACTGCTGGTAAGCTAATTGAAGTATTAAATCACTTAATTTGTCCACTGCAGCCATTAATTCTATTATTCTGATGTTATTCTCATTTTCCCTAATAAATCAATGATAAACTGTTTTTCATTTTCTCCTTGTATAATGTCTATTACATCATTATGTTCTAATTGGTATATTAATCAAATTACTCTGATCGAATTACATGAGTTTGTTTACTTCGTTGTCTGGTTTTTTTTTTCAGTTAGGATGTATTATGTCATCTCATATCCATACTCTTGTATTATCATCGCAGTATTCATCTGCTCATCCCGTGAAGGAAGCAATCTATGTGGCACTGTAGTTCTGTAGCTGAAAGATAAAAGAAATCATGGGCTTAAATAAATACAAATGTACAATGCAGTGCATATGTCGTTGTGCAATTCAAATTTGACAAGAGTTTGCTAAAAATATTCAGAAAAGAATGTGCTCACATTTCAAGGTTTATTTAACCATGGCGTCATTTGAAGATTTCCTAATTGGTATTGGGAAAATTTAGTGTTCATATTGAGAGGTGTTTGTATTACAGAGATGTTCAGATCTACTGTACTGTATTATTATCCATCTTCCTTTTAAACCTTAAGGCCAGTGCTAGACACTGTTTCCTTCCACATTCACTGGGGGGTATTGTGATGCAACAACCCCGTGTTGTTGCATCAAGATGGCCAGACTTCCGGTGATAGATTTTCGTAAGATATTTTGTTTTCTCAATTTAAACCCATTTCTAAGACGGGTTTCTCAATAAACATATACGTGCAGTTTATGCACGATCTATATTTTAATTAACTGTCATTTGTATACATGAAACATCATCGAGAAGCGGTTAATTCTCGGTTTTATTTCCTCACTATTGATGCAACAACACCAAACCGAAGATGCAAAAACACCAATCTAGATTTGAGCAATGATGCAACAACACCAATGTATGTCATATTGTTAAACCGTAATGTAATAGGATTTAGGTCCCTAAAAGGTAAATTGAGAGCGGTACATTAATCCCAGGGGTCGTAATATTATATTGGACATTCATATTATATTTTACATCTTAAAAAACGTGTCGCTTCGATTTATACTCTTTTATACCTAGGTGAACCTTTTCTGAAGTAGTGCATCCATCAAATATATAGAGATTATCCTATATGAGGTTCAGGATATTGGGATTATCCCGAGGCCAATATAATATATCTGCCCGAGGGCCGTAGGTCCCGAGGGTAGATATATTATATTGGCCAAGGGATAATCCAAATATCCTGAACCGACTATAGGATGATCTGTTTATCCCATACCAATGACATTGTCCAATTGGCCACAGTTCAGAAACTTTGCAACCAACCGTGGAATTATTTTGAAATATTCATGTCCAGTTTTGTATTCTTGTACGTAGCCGGATTTTCCTGTTCAAATCTTTGATTATTAACGGGGCATACTGCTGCATCAAACAGATCGCGATTGCCTTCGTTTTTCTCCATTGTCGTTTACAATATGCGAACGTTACAAAAATGAACCAATGCGGGAATAGCGATTATGACGTAACGGGCAGATATACTATATCTGCCCGCTCGGAGCGGGACGTAAAGCTATATCTGCCCGCTGATGAAAATATAAGGTTTTACAAACCGGCTTTATGTACCTGTAACACGTCAAAGTATGGGATAAACACATTAATAAACATTTGATCAAATATATACTTCTTTTTCAGGTTTCAAGAAGTTATAGATTTTCAAAGTCAAAATATTTTTCAAAAAACTCCTCCCATTAAATAACACATGAGACGAAAAGGATTTTCAAAAATGACTTTTAAGCTCTGTAACTTTAGTATTCAAAAGTAAGCTGAACACTCAACGTACAAAAAGTTAGATAATTCAATTTTCTATTATTTTGGTGAATCTTTTACTGGATAGATATCCTGAAATCAGATTTGCCCCGAACACACCATTTGCCATTGGTTTACATAGGAATGGCGATTTTCGAAAATTCATCAAAATCATCAATTTTCTACCTTTATTGTAATTGAGTGAAAATTGGGAACATTTCGAGGCATTGAAAATGAAGTCAAGTTACATTTCAATCATCTATTTTCCTCGCAGGTCAAGTTAATAAAAATTCAAATATAAAGAGGCTTTAACATGTAATACAATGAGGGGGCTAAGGTTGTCAAGCTTTTGGAGGGGAGTATACAAAACAAAAATGACTGATATCTGTTTACTTTCCATAACTACATGTATATTAGTTCTTTGTAAATAAGATCAGACCAAAATCAGAAATATTTACTTGACCAAAGAATGAAAGGTGTAAAAGCTAAACGTAATATTTCCAATAAACACGGCTAAATGGAAATCTATTTTATTCAATAATCAATCAACACGATGATTTATTTCACGCATTCCTGACAAATAGGGTTTGGACCATTGGGATTCGAACGAATTGGGCGACCAGCCTTTTTACGTTTAAGTCAGTGTCTATTTCAAAGTAGTTTCAAGATGTGGGACATCCTCCGAACACAAGCCTCCGAACATAGGCCTCCAGACTTGGGACCACATAAGTGTCTGTTATGATGTCATTTAGAAAGTGATTAACTTACTTAGTAAACTTACATGTGTTACAATATCATAATATGTAATTAAATACTATTACTATGTATATCGTTTGGCTTGTATATCCTTTTAAGTTTGATAAGACTTTGGCGTTGTTGCATCAACACATTGGTGTTTTTGCATCATTGATAATAAACATGATGGTGTTGTTGCATCAATAGTGAGGAACTAAAACCGTGAATTAATCGCTTCTGAATGATGCTACATGTATATCAATGACAGTATCTTAAAATATAGATCGTGTGCTAACTGCACGTGTATGATTATCGAGAAACTTGTCCTAGAAATGGGTTTAAATTGGGAAAACATAATATCTTGCGAAAATCTATCACCGGAAGGCCGGCCATCTTGATGCAACAACACGGCGTTGTTGCATCACGATACCCCCCAGTGACATTGGGCTATGATTTGGGATAGCTGAGGTTTGTTTATCTTGTGACTGATGTACTCTTAGATGTTTTCATTTTCTTGCTGTGTTCTGTAACAATTTTTTCTTTCCCGTTGTACGTATACATATTTACTTCATTTCAAACCTAGTCATTTTATGAATAAATTTTCATTTTAAAATGGCTCATGTAGTCAAGTTTTGAGACACCAACCCTCTGATTCTCAACAATATATATTTGTGTAATAAGAGAAGGAAATTGTTTTTTAGCAGGATGTTTCATTAAAAATCCTTGGAGTCAAATTCAATATAATTTGTTTTATTGTTATTATTGGCCCCCAACTAAAGAAATTTTGATTTTGTAAAATTCTGATTAAAAGATCTTATTTCCCCCCAAGTCCTTTCATGTAAAGAAACTGTATCCATCCTTCAAGATTGAGCATCACTGTCTTCCCTCATGGAATAAATTGATATACCTTCGACCAAGAATGACTTTTTGTACCTCTGGGAAATTAATGCCAAAACATATTTTAACAGCAACTATCTCATTCAGTTTGATCGTATATCAAGGTATGATAGTATTAGCCATGCAGTAAATAGTTTATATACTGCAAATTCAGTTTGACTTATATCTGGAAATCAATTCCTGCAAGAATACTTTGGAAATGAGGATATAAACCATTCCGAGTCATATGCGACAGGAAAAAAGGAGTAATATCACTATGGATCCAAGCAAATTCAACAATAGCTTTTAAGTATGCTATTTTAGTATCAAGATTTTATCAAACTATTTATGAACATTTTATGATATTTTCCTTGGCCTGACCCTGGCCGTTGGTGTCTGTAACGTTAATGATAGATGGTGACAATTTGCATGTTAATGCCTCATCTTATTGCTGTAGGCTAAGTTAATACTATAACCCATATTAGTGATGTCTGCTTGTAGCAATTCACTTTGACTTACCTGGCCGTTAAAGAGAACTTATAACTGAATATGTTGGGATTAACTTGCCTGGTTGAGTATAAATATATGGGGAAACTAGTTGTAATTAGTTCCCTGCAAAAGCCTGTCAAGAGTTAGACAGTAATCTCATTGGGTCATGATATTACACATTCACAATACAAGTTGTCTTAAAACGTATAGCTTGCCCCCCTAATGTGTACTACATGATCTGTCGAAGACCTGTCCATTAGCGCGTATTGTGACAAATGAAAACGAATCAAGGGAAGAATTTAATCAACATCGACCATCCTGGACAAGAGATATTGTCCTTATTGTCCAGCTTTCCAATTTGAAATGAATCTCTGTACTGCACAATTTATGAAGCACATAGAGCTAATTTTACAGTTATTAGCAGCTTATCTGTATAGTTTTCAGCTCTCCATCCTTATTATTAGAATTCTAAGAGTGTACCTGTCAGTTAGTGACTTGTGCTGAGAGTGTACTGTCTGCAATTCTATTGGCACTGAACTAAGAGCAGTCACACCAGGGCCCTAGTTGGGTTCCGAAAATGAACAAGGCAATTTAAATAGGCGTTGAAATCAGTCTTGTTCATCATTAAAATTCACACCTAAATAATATAACACTTTCAAATTAATTTGAAAGTGCTATGTTGTAGTTGTCTTGTACTGATATAAAATAGACAAGAAAAACAAATCTTTTTATCAAGATAGGATTCATCTTCACCCGACAGATGCAACATAGCAGACTAGCGCCAAAATCTTTTGGTTTGGGACATGTCAAGTAATTTACAAGAGCATTATTTTGAATTTCAAGTGCAATATTTACCACTGTGTACATTGTTGAGCAAGAGCCTTTGATATTACTCCTAGATTAAAGTCAGTATCAATAACATGAAAT